GAAGCTTGGAGGCTGGCACCTAGTCCAGACTGCCAGGCAAAATTCAGGTTGAAGACGAGATATGGTCATGGCATCCTGTCTGCAGTGCGCAGTGCGTGGGCAGCCATTCGTATAGGCAGGCGACGTGTGATCTGGGGGCGGTGGAGACGCAGGCGCTTGCGTCGCCGATCGTCCAGTGTTCAGTGGAGATTGTTGCTGCGGCAAGGGGTCCAGGGACTCATACTGTCAAGCACTCATCATCGAGGCCGACGCCTTGCCAAGAGGAGACGACGCAGACGCATCAAACAGGCCAAGCAAGGCAGACTCTTTCATGATTGCCCACAGTTTGACGACGCACCCCCGGTGAGCGAGGCTTCATGCTTTCCAGATGCGGTGTGCAATTCTTTTCCCAGCCGGTGCCTACAGGATCCAGCACTTCCTCACGAAGATGCCCCCCATGGCGAAGGCGGGAGTTCTAGGACAGATTACGGCCAGTGGCAACAGGGTTGGTTCCGCGGTGGAGGAAGAAAGACGGAAACGTCCTTCATTGAAGCCCTTAGCGCAGTGATGTCGAAGTTCAAAGAAGAGATGAGCACCGACAAAGGCCAAAGCAAGGGCAAAGGGAAATCAAAGGGCAAGGAGGGTGACAAGCCAGCCAAGCCCAAGCGGCAAAATGACAGCATGGATGCCGACCTTTTTCATGCTTTGGAGCGGGTGCTGACGAGAGCCCGACGGAATCCAAGTGGTATCATCGACCGCGTCAGCACAGTCATCGAGCAGTTGAGGCGGGGCAACCACATCAAGCCCACACGAGCGGAGAAAAGGGCATGGAAGGCAAAGTTGCGCAGGGACACAGCTCCGCCTCACGTCCCAACAGCACCGCGCACATGGGCGGATGTTGCAAAAGGCGGAGGGCACAACACTCAGTCGGAGAAGCCTACTGCCAAAGGCAAGGGAAAGGGCAAGGGCAAAGATACACCAAGTGTCACGCCCACGCCCCCTCGGGATCAGGGCAAGCCAGTCAACCACAAGCCAGATGCCGACACGCAGGGTTGGAAACTGGACCCTGGCATCTTCGGCGTCGTCACCTTCGGCAAATTCAAGCACATGCTGGAGAAGCAGCTTGACGTGTCTCAGGTCAAATACATCGTCGCGCGGAACGAGTTGGAGGTGGGCAAACTCCAAAACACGGCCACCCTCTTCGATTACAAGGCCAAGGCGAAGCAGGCAGTGATCCTTGTCGCGATCCCCGATGGCGAGACACACGATGCGAAGCAGGTCGTGAACCTTCCGGTGACGGACGGCCGAAGGAGGCGGATGCAACGTTGGAGTGTCCACAAGCTCGTCGAGGGCGACTTACCGGAACTACCGACGGCTTTCTGCAGAACGAGCACCTTCACAGCACCGAAGCGCGAGTTGCAGACCATTCGGGCCACCATCCCGCAGGATTTCATCGACTCGCCAACGTACGCAATAGCAAAGGCCGGGCCACATGACTACATCGTCCGCTACTTGGGCATCAAGCTTCACAGCTCGGAAAATTGGCGCGTAACTACCGACAAGGACGAGGAATACCTCGTTGGCTACCTTAAGCTGGAGACCAAAGACGTGGCAGAGGCGCTCAAGCTCAGTGGCAAGGCTGGCATCTTCTTGGACACGCTGGCAAAGCACCGCACCGAGCACGCTCCGGCAGTCAAGTGGGTTGATCGCGAGGACCGTCCTGGCACTTTCTACTTGAAGGAGGTGCGCAAGTTGGCGAACGGAGCCCCACTTGCTTTCCGACGCGGAGGCGGCCGAGCTCTTGGATGGCGACTCCCACGCGGAGAAGAAGTCAAAGACACCTTCACGTGGCGAGTTAAAGGTGTCCCCGGTTACTGGCTTGAGGAGGACGTCATAGCCGCTCTCGAAGGTGCCAACTTCACGGACATCTCCGTCACCTCGCGCGGAGAATGGAAGCGACCATGGTTGGTCAAGATGGACCAGGTGGAGAAAAGTGGTGAGCGCCTCAACACCCTGTCCGTCCGCGCCGGCAACGTGGTCTTACTGTTGGAGCGTACGGTGTCACGAAGGCAAGCTGCCACGCAGTCGTTCTCTGTGCCCGCTAGGTCGAAGAGCAAGAAGTCGACAGAGGCGGGAACGACCAGGGAAACCATGAGACGCCCCTTGGACAACACCGTCGACGCCGACATGCTCGGAGGCGACGCCGAGGAAGCCGATCAGAAAAGACGCAAGCTGGCCGCAGGCACTGCGCAGTCGCCCCCTGCCAATGGGCCGCCGGCGAATGAGCCATGGTTTGAACTTGTCGACTGTGGCGATGCCGGCCATTGCTTTTACAATGTGATCGCCGCCGGCTACGCGATCAGCAAAGGAGAGGATTTGGCCGTCTTCAAGAAAGCGATCCCCGGACGAGGAAAGGGTTTGCGCAAAACGATTGCGGAGACGGTGGCAAAGCACCCTGACGTTTATAGACAGTGGTGGGAACCCCCGAAGGAGCTCACCGGCACTGATGCAGAAAAGCAGACGCAGCACGAAGAGCGCATCAAGCAGGAAGACGGAGAGCCAGCCATGGACTACGAAGGTTACATCCGAGCCCTGTGGCGCCCGAACCGCTGGGCAGATGAAATCGCTTGGCGTGTGGCTGCAGAGAAGCTCCAGACCCTCATCGTTGCTTGCCACAGCGACCCTGGAAAGGCCACGCATTTCACGGCCATCGGCAACCCCAAGGCCACCAGGACCATTTTCATTTGCTATGAAGCTGGTCATTTTACCCTGGTTCGCCCGAGAGCTGGCCAAGATTACCCCACCGAGTGGAGGAAGTACGGCAGGGAAAATTTGGAGATGGAAGTTAGTGTGCCTCGTGGAGGTGGCGCTACAACCTGTGACAACGATGATGCAAGCGTCCGCACCAGCAGGTCGTGGCTTGCGCCCAGCGAGCCCGACGACAACAGGTCAGTTCGAACGAGCATCTCGTGGATACAGCCGGAGCCTCAGGAGCAGGGTCCCAAAGGTGAGCCTGTTGCGATCTCTGGGGGTGTCACGGCGCTCTTCCTGCCCAGCGCGGCTCCGCGAGACTCCCCTGCCGGAGACTGCGAAAGGCCGGAGCACCCTCCAGAGACGACGAAAGTCAACACTGAGGACAGCGATGCTCGGACTGAGGTTGCTAGCCTGGCGAGTCTGGGGGATGTTCAAACTCAGACTTCTTGGCTCCCCAAGCATGAGGCTGGTAGCGTGCGGGCTACAAGGCGGAGGCTCAGTGGCAAGCAGGCGCGCGCTCAGCAAGACGCGCACCAGACTCGCGACGCCAAGACCTTCACTCTGCATGAGCTGCCCGCTGTTCCTGTAGACTGTGTTTTGAAGGCTTTGCGAGTTGAGGGTGCTAAGCAACGCAAGATGTCCATCCCTGAAGTCCTCGTTGATATCCGGAGGTTGGGAGGCACCGAAGCTTCATATCCGTGGCTGAATCCAGCTACGCCTCCGAGACCCATGCAATATTCCGCCGTTCGTCATGCCCACTGCCTCCTGAGAGAGGTGCTGCGGCATCAACAAGGCACCGGTCATGAGTTCGTCAGTGCGCCCCGCACGCTCGGCAAAAAAGAGGAGAGAGTGAGAAGCCTCTGGGGTTGCAGGAAATGCTGCCTCACTTTCACTCACCTCCCAACTCTTCGTTTCGCTGCGAACAATGGGCACCTTGAGCCATGCCGAGGGCAAAGTGACAGGAAGCAGCAGCTTCGAACCAGAGGCTTCTCTAGGGCATGGAAGGTCAAGAATGGCCGCCAGGCTATTAGTTCGGCCCTGGCACTATCAAGCGCCGAGAAAGCTTTCCTCAATGGGAAGAAGAGCCCCAGTTTCTACCGCGAGACTCCGAGGCCCAAGAAGCCCCTGCGCAAAATGACCTTGGAAGCTACCAAAGCCTCCGCCCAAGTCAAGAGGACGCGGGACGGTGACTGCAAGGCCACCGCTGCTGCTGATGGTGCGGGCTCTTCCAAGGACGGCAAGCCGGGCGTCCGCACGACCACTCGACATCCCTACTGCACCGACTACCCCATGACCTACGATCCGCTCACAGAGATCTGGACTTGGAGATGTAGCCGCTGCGAAATGGAGATGCAGGGCAAGGACGACGCAGCTCTGGCGGCAAAAGGCTCGAAGCACGTTCGTCGACGGCATGCTTCGAAGAGGCAAAGCACGGTCGTCAAGAAGAAGGGGAAGTTCGGCTGGCCTTGCACCGTATGCCATCTTCTCCTCCAGGCCGGCACGATGGCGAAGCTGAAGGACAAGAGGCGCAGTCACATCAAAGGCTTCCACGCGAACGAGGACCCCAGAGAGTTCCTGACGCTCGGAGGCCGACAGGGTGGCACTCACACCACTGCGCCGACGCGCATCAAGGCCCTGCTTGATGCCGCCAAGGACAGACTTGTCGAGGAAGGGATAGAGCCTAACCCTGGCCCGTCAAGTACGCTCCGGCTCCAGTACGTCAACGTCAACGGCTACAGCAACGCGGCGCTCGCCGTGGCCAACTTGAGGCGAGACAAAGCACAATCGATTGCTGGCCCTCATGTGTTTTGCATGGCAGAAGTCAAGGCCGGTGCCACGCAGCGCAGTTCTTTGGCGACCCAGCTGCGGCATCTGGGCTACCGGACTTTCTGGGTGCATGAACCTGACGGCAGCCGCACCAGGAACAAGCAGACCATCTACGCCGGGGGCATCATGGTCGCAGTCGAAGAGGCTCGTGTGACAGTCGTCTCCACGTGGACATCCAGACCCAAGCTGAGAGCATGGTTGGACTATGTCATGCCCGACGACTTCCAGGGTGGCATCCAAGGACGATGTGCTGAAGTAGGGGTTCGGAAGCTGGACGCGAAGTACCGCATGCAGTCCGGTATCCTCATAAGCATGGATTTTTCTTTGTGCTTTGACTACGTAAACCCAAGGCTTTCTCTCAGGGTCCTGCAGCAGATGGCGCTTACTCAGCCTGCTGGAACACACCTGGACGAAACAGTGCCGCTGGATCCAACTCGGAGGCGCCACTTTGCCGGAAGGGCAGCGTGCCGGCTCATCTTTGCCTCAAGGATGCCCCGCAGCGCCGATGGGACTCACAGTGCTCCTGAAGTACCCTGCCATGCACCTTCGACGCCTGCTCCGAGACCGTGTGGAACAGGTCATCTACTTGGATGACCGCAACATCGTCGTTACCAGTGCTCGCGATGCTGAGACCGTCATCCAGACTTGGAATCGCTTCTCTCAGGAACTAGGGCTCGTTGAGAACAGACGTAAACTCCGGGTGCTGACGAAGGATCCCGCGCAGAGGCGGGCGCTGCAGAATCTTGGCATTGAGGTGCACCAGACAGCCAAGGTTTTGGGAGCCTCCTTTTTCTCCAACGTCGAGGATGACCCGGAGCTCAGTGACAGAGCGGAGAGGACAGCTATGCAGGTCAAACGACTCCGGCTTTTGCCCATCGGTGAGAAAGGCCGTGAGCTGATGTTTAGGACTCGAATCGCCACTGCAGCGGTTTGGGGATTCTGGTTCAAGCCATGGTCTGAGCAGCACTGCGCAGCCGTTGATACTTCGGCGCGAAAAGCTGTGGGCATCACCACGTCTGGGGCTCGCACTCTTTGGCAGCTTCTGGCAGGGCATCAGTTTGACATGAGATTCTTCTTCAGGCACTCTAGCATCCTCAGCTTCCTGCGCGCGGAGTGGTACTGGAGGCAGAAGGGCATAACATTGCCCGGGGGACGATGGACTCAGCAGACAAACGCCGACCTCGAAGGCCTTGGCTTCGTCAAGACTGGACCGTGGAAGTGGCGGCATGCTGAAGCCGGCGATGTGTCTTGGTTCCAGGGCGACGCCAAGCAGGAGCTCCGTAAGACTGGTCATGTCATTCGCGAGGCATGGCGGCGTGGGCAGATGAGGGCCTTCCTTAAGCGGATGACTCGTCATGAGGCGGTGGACATTCAGGCGCAGGGGGCCACCTACCGCGAGGAGCAGGTCACCAAGACGAGGCAGCTCTACGCGAAGGCCACTGCGGAAGAGAGGGGAGTCCTGATAGCCGGAGCCTGCAGCGAAGCCAACTACGGTCAGAAAAAGCGCGGGGCGCGCGATGGCCTTGCCCACATCGTGCAGTGTGGCCTCTGCCAGGCCAGGGAAGTTCCAAACTGGGAACATGCAGCTTGGCGATGTTCGTACTTCTGCGAGGGCCGAGGGCATCATCATGATGATCCTTGGACGCGACGATTGGGTTGGGCTGCGCCGCATGAGTCGCTGGCGCAGGCGATGGAGCGGCTGCGACGTCTGGCCGGGATTCGTGCAGAATTACGACAGCGCTTTGGCTTCGAGCGTGGACGGCCGCCTGAAGCATGAGGCGGTTTCCTTGGGCCCTCCATGATTGGTTCTGCCTCTACATGGAGTAAAACTTCCAACGGGGGTGTGTGTGGAGTGTGTGTGGGTGTGTGTGTGGGGGTGTGTGTGGG